TGAGGCTGCAAGAGGTATGGGCCAGCTGAGACTGTGGCTGGCATCCAAGAGGGAAAAGGACCAGCTCTGGGTAGGGCACAGAGAATGGTCAACCCAGGCCTAGCTATAGGAGCTCAGTGTGACTCTGGGGTATGGAGCTAAGAGCTGCTGAGGTTAACTTCGGTCAAGTCATACCGATGTCTTATCTGTCCTAGAATTGCTTCTTTATCCAGCGCCATATCTGCTTTTGAGTTCATTCATACAGCTGTGGCAACATTCAGATGCTTTTGGGCTGATGGACTGAGAGCCTCAGTTCCTCACATGCTGTCGGCCATGGGATCTCTTCAGTTCCTTGCCATGAGAGCCTTTCCTTTCCATATGGCAGCTTACAACATGGCAGCGGTCTTCCCTCCAAGCAAGCAAGCAAAAGAGCAAGACAGCAAGACAGAAACCAGAGCGATTTGAAACCCAATATAAGAAGTGACATCCCACTACATTTGCCATATTCTGATAGTTAGAATGGAGTCACTAGGTCTAGTATCAACGGAAGGAGATTACACACAAGGAAGAATACCAAGAGGAGAATGTCACTGTGAACCAGTTTAGAAAGTTTCCCATTATGACAACTATGCTTTCTGACAATATTGGGGTATAATACCCTTTCAAATAGAAGGGCTTTAAAAATTACTGTATTTGCCACATGCCTATCAGAAATTTAATGCATGTTGCCCAGCCATAGCCTATTATATTAAGATAATGATTACACTTGTATAAGCTCATCTTCTAGCAAACCTGTTATACTACTGTAGTATTTTTTATTTTATTTTATTGTTATTATTTTTTAGTGCTCCAATCATTCTAACTAGAATTCAGCCAGCTTTTATCTATCTGAGTTTTACCAGAGGAGCCAAAAAATCTCCTGGTTACCACCAGAATCATAAAATGACACAGCTGAAAAAGAATTTCTGTGTTCACTGAGCCCAACTCTTCCATTTTACAGCAAGGCAGCAGGCTCATTACTAACATTGCTGGGTCCATGCTGGGTTTTGCTGAATTCAACATTAGGTTTTAGGATAGGACCAGTGGTACTGTCACCCCTGGGAGCCCTGCAGCATGGATGTGGATTAAGAAAATTGAGATGGAAAATAAGGCAAGGTGTTAAAAAAAATGTGGAAGAGGAAAAGAGGGGAGGGAGAACTCAGAAAAAGGGACAGGACTGCAGAAGTAGCCTAAAAGAGAAAGGCTAAAACGTATTCACTGCTGGTACCACTGGGGGGCTCCATGACTTTCTAATGTAGCTGTTTTACCAGTGACATTCTGATGTGTCCATCAAAATAAGGAAACTTTTGGTGTGTTGTCATTGATAGGCAGCATGGCACAATGATTGGTTAAGACTTAACTTTGGAGTCTTAATGTGGAGCTTAATCCTATCTCTGCAGATAGCTGTGAGACTCTGCAAGTTACCTGACTTTTCTTCCCTTATTTTCTAAATGGGGAATGATAACAGTGCCTACTGAATGGGATTTTTGTCAGAATAAATGAATTAATAAACGAAAAGTGTTTATAACAGTACTGAGCACATGGAAAGTTCTATTATTATCATATGATGAGGGCGCAGACCTTGTTCCCCAGTCCTCAGCTGAGTGTGAAGATGGAATGAGGCTTGGTAATAGGGAGAGGATAAGGCTTAGGGATGGGAATGGAATAGCAGGGTAAGAAGGTGAGTTGGGCGTACCACCAGCCAAGTGCAGCCAAATCACACTGCCTCATGCATCACCGAGCAAACCAAACACACTGCATTAGAAAGTCTATTTGCCCATGCTGCCATCCTTCTAATCGTAAAGCGTTTTTCTATCCCCACCTCCAAACTCCCTTCATTTCAGCTCCTCTTGCTGCCTCAGTTTGTTCTTCCTGTTGCTCATTCCCCCAGGAGACGAATCCCCAGCAATGTAAGGCTACCGTGCAGCTGAAGTAATAAGCTGGAAATTAGAACTATATACTAATTTTATATTATTGCAATTATTATGTAGTATCAAAATTACTTATTTTTCGTTTTTGTTTGTTTGTTTTTTGAGACGGAGTCGCACTCTGTATCCCAGGCTGGAGTGCAATGGTGTGATCCTGGCTCACTGCAACTTCTGCCTCCTGGGTTCAAGTGATGATTCTCCTGCCTCAGCCTCCCCAATAACTAGGATTACAGGCACGCACCACCATGCCCAGCTAATTTTTATATTTTTAGTGGAGATGGGTTTCACCATGTTGGCCAGGCTGGTTTTGAACTCTGACCTCAGGTGATCTGCCCTACTCAGCCTCCCAAAGTGCTGAGATTACAGGCATGAGCTACCATGCCTGGCCCCAAGTTATTTAATTTTATTTTTTGTTTTGTACTATCACTATGGTTCCTATCTTCTCCAGAGTTTTTTTCTTTTCTGGCTTTGTATTTTTATTCAAGCATGTATTTATATGACAGACATCAAACAATTACTGTTTAAACTAGAATTTGCTAAGCACCTATTATGTCCTAGATACTGTCCAGTGCTTTCTTACATAACTGTGTGTATTAAGTATTGTTATTCTACCTGTAAAGATAAGGGAAACTATACCTAGAGAAATCATCACTTGCATGAAAAAAAATTAGATTCTATTTATGTCCTTATTCTTTCAGCAACCCCCAATAGCCTAAGTAGTCTCCCAGGCATCAGGACTAACGTGGACTTCACTTGGACCAAATATCGTCTGCTTCATCCTGGCTTCAGGAACCACGACTAGACTCTGAAGAGAAAGAATAATTCTAAGCAGAAGTTCAAGGAGCTGTTTAAGGAGAGTCTTTATGAGACTGTAACACAGACAGACACAAGCAATGCTGCCTCAGTGCCCAAGGGACAAATTACTAGCCAGAACCCAGGCAAGAACTGAATAGAGTAGGATGTCATTTTCCCACTTCACAGGTTTGCCCTGTGGGGTTCATTGGAAATAATGTGGACCCGAAATCAATATTTCACAGTGGCCGGGGTGAAAGGGCAACCTTGGAAAACCAGAGTAGAAGGTAGAAGGACATGAGAAGGACAGGCAGGACGACCCCAGGATTGTCACAATTACTGCAGGGGGGAAGGAACGGAGGGGCCCCAAGTCCTTTATACAGGGGAAAATGATGGAGTAGTGAGAGTTTCTTATGGTTATCTGTGGCTTCATTTGCATTAACGAGAAATACGGTTACACAAAAGTAAATAAGACAAATTGTCCCCAAAGAAGTAAAAATTTGTGGAGTCAGACAGGTAAACAGATCATTAAAATGTGACCAGCACTACTATAATAAAACAGGGACTCAGAAAAGAATTTACAGAGGTGGTAACAACCTAATAAGGCTCTGAAGGATGAACGAGTTTGCCAAATGAAAAAGAGATGGACGAATATGCTAGCTAGGAGGAATCTCACATGCAGAGGTTTAGAGTTACGGAAAATGGAGAGATAAGTTAGGAGCAGATCGTAACGAGGCACACCAAGAGATCTGGAATTTACTTTGTAGGCAATAGAGAACCAGCCCACCAGCCCAGACTTTCAACTACGGGGATCATGGAATCTTTTTTTAGGGGGAAGATATTTTAGAGGAAAATTTGGACAATTAGTTGAGAGGTGCAAGGTACCCACCTGAATGGCAACTGGGGAAGAACCAGAGTCAGAAGAGCCACTGAAGGGACTGAGGAAACAACGTGTGCAATGACCCAGCAGCCAGAGATAATAGTACTGGTTCAGGAACTGAGGCAGGCTCTGTGAGGCCAGATTACATGTGGCTGGAGAAGGAGGAGGAGAGGGTGGCAGTAGGAGAAGGAAAAGAAGGCTGGTCACTTGCATTTGGATGCTGTGAGCTGAGGGGGCAAGTTCAAATTGAAGTTAGAGCATGGGGGTTGTCAGGACCTTGAAGTATGAACCTGTTTCTTTTTCATTCTTGCATCTTACCCTAGCACCTTGGAGGCTGGGGGTGGAGGAGGTGGTGGGGTGGGGTGGGGTGGGGTGGTGAGGAGCTCAGAAAATGCTTTCCAGAATTAGAAAACTGAAGGAAGCAAGGCTCCACTCAGCCCACCAAGAGATGGAGCCTGCTGTAAATGGTCAAGTCGGATGACACCCGGCAGACAAGTAATTTGGTGTGCAGACCAGAGTAGATTACGGAGGACCTTACCAGTCACGCTAAGGATCTTGGACACCATCCAGGATAGAGTGGAGAGTGGGCTCCAGAACCTGAACAATGTAGCATGCAGTGGGTTTGCTCAAACACTACACAGTTAGAAAATCTTAATTCTCGATTTACATTGCCAAAACAAAACAAAACCAAAAAACTCCATCATACGACCACATCTGGAAATAAGCAAATCCTAACTAACCCTATTCGCTGGGACCCAAAGATCTAATTTCTACCGCGGATAGATAGCATCTCCCTTATGCCGAAGGCTCTTTTTCTGGGGAATGTTTGGAAAGAACGGTTGCAAAAACAAAACAAAATAAAAAACCAAAAAACACCCAACCTCAATCACCCCGACTGGTGAATTTCGAAGAAAGTAAATGCTTTTAAAAAAAGAAAAATCTAGAAGACCATGGACCTCCCAGAGAAACCTAAACCCATGAGAGTGGCATTTCAAAACTACCCATTTTCTACAACATCTTTTGTAGCTAAACCCCAGCCACCCTAGTCTCGGCACGCTCCCGGCCCCCGTCCCCGCCCCCCGCCCCCACCGCCACACGCGCTTGCAGGCTGAGGGAGGTTGGCGGCGGCGCGGCCGCTCAGGTGAGGGGCCACCCAGTCCCTTGGGACGCCGGCGGCCGGAGCCCATTCACTGCCTTCTCAGCAGCAGGGCGGCAGGGGATGGGCAGGGAGGGGAAGAGGCGGGGAGCCTGGGAGGAGTACGGGGGAGGGACGGGAGGACGCGAAGGAGAGCCGGGAGGGGCAGGAGCACCGCGCGGGGAGGGGCGCTGAGAGAGCGGAGAGGGCGAGAGCGGAGAGGGCGGGAGCGGCGGGGGCGCGCGCCGGCGCGGGGCCAGCCTCGCTTTGCCAGGGTCGCTGGCGGACGCGCGCCGCAGTCCGAGCCTCAGACGCGCGGGCGCGGGGGACAGCGAAGGGGCCGCCTGGCTGGAGCAGCCAGAGGGGACAGCTTCGTCGAGAACCGAGGACCTCAGCGGTCCAGGGTCCTGGGCGGTCGCTCCAGAGCAGAGCGGTGGGCGCAGTGCGAGAACGTGAGTAGCTCCCAGCGCGTCTGGCGGCGACACTGGGTCCTGCTCGGGGGTGACGGCCGGAGCCAGGGAGGACGCGCGAGGCTGCTGCGTTGTCACTGGGACACCGGCGCGGGGTTCAGCCGAGCGCTCACCGGGCTGGCAGCGCTGCGGGAGGGGCGAAGCGGATCTCCAACTCCCTTCTCCCCTGCAGGCCCCCGACACTGCCGCGGGCGCCTAGAGGGAGCAAAGGGACCCGCGCCCGGGTGAGGGCACAGCTGAAATCCAGCAGCGCCGGCACCCACCACCCACTCCGGTCTGTGGCCAACTTCTGCTCCGCGCCCGCACCCCACGCTTTCCGGGAAGCCCTGTCCGGAGCTTTTGCTTGTGGGCAGTTGGGCATTGAGAGCCTGAGGGCCCGGCACGGCGTATTCCCGGGCATGGACACGGAGGCGCGGGGCACGCCACATGCCGGCGGGGCGAGGAGCGCGGGGGCCGGGCCGGGAGCGCACCGGCGTCCGCCTGTTCCGGCCCCCGCGGACACATCTGGGCGTGGGCTTTGTTCGGAAGCGGCTACACCTGCGCCGACCGCCGAGTTCAGGGGGCGAGGCCGACTTCGCTTCTCTACTCTCGCTGCCTGGACAGGGCTCGGGGAATCGAGGCGAAACGGGAGAGACACGGAGAACAGAGGGGTGGGGGCGCTTTCGGGGGCTTTGTCGGCCTCACAGGTGCTGGTCCGGGGCGTCCCCGTGCCCCGCCCTGCCTCCGAGGGCTGGGACATGACGGGGCTGGCGCGCTGGGCTCGGGCTGCCTGGAAAGATCGCCTTCTCTACCCAGGCTCTTTGCGGTGGGATCTGGCATCCGCTCCGCCCGGGATGCAGTGTTGAGCCAGGAGTGATTACTCGCCCTGGAGCATCCATCTCGCAGCGAGCGCCATCTGCGCCGTGCGCCGCCCCCGGCCCCTCCACACTGCGCGGGTGGGCGCCGCCGCATCCTGGTCCTCGGCTCTTGGCCAGCTCAGCCACTCCCGGCCCGCATCTGCCAGAGTGCGGAGGGGGAAGGGGTGTCGCGGTAGGGTGAGCCAGGGAGTCGTCATTCTCCCAGAGCTGTGTCCTCAGGGCAGCAAGCGCTGCTGGAGGGCTCCCCGAGCTCGGGGGCTGGCGAACAGGCGGCTGCCTTCCTCCGGATCGCCTCCCCTCCCGCCCGGCTCCCGGCCCGCAGCCACCTCTTCGTCCCCTGTACGCTGGAGGGCGGCCCCTGCGCCGCGGGCACCGAGGGAGGGCGCTGAGAGTTGGCGTTTCTTTCGCACCCCGCCTCTCTCCTGCCCTTTTCTTCGCACCAGGGTCTCCAGTCCTTGGCTACCGCCGGCCCAGAACTGTCCAGAGAGGGAAACGTTCTTTTCCTCTCGTCGTCCCAGATGGTTAACGCTCAGAAGTGCGGGTCTAAGAGATTGAGCTTTTCCTTGCCCCAGGCTTTTGCGAGGGGAAATGGGACCAAGTGTAATGGGGCAGGGGGCATTGGTTCTGCACCAGAAGTTCCCCCTGGGGTGGTCCTGGAAAGGAACACAGTAACCGCTAAATACAAACCTAGGAGGCTGGGCCGCTTTATGGAACTGCATTATGCTAACCATGCCCTGCTGTTAAAATAATGTAATAATGGCAGTACTTGCAGAAGTACTGAAATGGAATTAGGCAACTGATACTTTCTACTTTAATGGTAATGATAGCCAACCGGTTTTGAAAGCTTTAGATTTATTGGGCGTTTCACATGTTACGTGTATCACCTCATTTAATTCTCACAACCGCATTTTAAAAATTAGGAAATTAAGGCTTAGAGAAGTCAAATAACTTTCCCAAAGCCACACAGCTAGGAAGTAGGGGAGTGGGATTGCTTTTGTCCTTGTGCTTTACAATCCGAGACTGAGAATGTGGACTTTGGGCAGCTTATCAATTCAGGGGAAACCTAAACTACTGCGCGTTCAAAACCAGGGAGATACATTACAAGCTCATCTAATTCTGAGCTCTGCAGAACTCACAGTAGCAGGCATTATTGTAATTCAGAGAATTGTATTGTGGAAAAGCCTTTTATTTCCATGTAACTCCTTTACGTATTCCTTTATTCCTGTTAACTTTTAAATATGTAGCTGTTAACACACAATCAAACCCATTATAGTCACTGGACTGTTCTTAGTAACCAAGGCCCTGCCATCTGTGATTACATAGATGTTTCTGGCATATCATAAAGTTTAATAAAACTTTTATTTTTAAAGAAAAGTTCCCCAGCCCCGAATGTTCTTTGTACACTGTTTTGACTACAAATGAGTTACTCCTCAAATTAGATGTTGAGTTTGAATAGGACCCTAGTATTCAATCTTAGGAAAACATTTCTATTCCCTAAATATATAGAAGCTTATGGGGGCATTTATGAAGATACTTCATGTTAACTAGCGGAAAGGGAGAATTTGAACCAAAGTGAAATCAGCTATTTCTGAAATAGCTTTTAGAATTATAATTAACTGATCAATTGGAAAAATTGATTTATTATGCATTCATAATCCTACTGACTGATAGTCTTATTTCAACCTTCTTTTTATCTTATTACAGGAAAGTTGCTAAACATTTCATATAATCCAGGAATTTTAGAGCTATTAGAGGACTCAGGCAACATTGTATCTAACTAATGAGTTTCAAAACAACTACAGTAGGACTCAGACTTGTAATGCAGGGCAGTGATGAGGTCTTTGGACTGAAGGCCATTGCCCTTACACCACATCATTTTTGTTAATGCTACAGTGATAGTGAATGGAAATCAAAACGTCTTTGGGAATGATACTTCCTGTGAGGCCAATACAACAATGATGGCAATAATCGCTAAGTATAAGTGCTTCAGAAATGTGAGGGGGCCCTGAGAACGTATACACCTGGGCTGTAGAAAATTTCAAGAAACATTTCAAATAATGCTTTCATGCAGGTGTAATTTTTCTTGTGTAACAGTTTGAATATAAATTGATCTACAGATTTATATTGTGTATGTACAAAGAAGCTATCGAATGGAACTCCACAGGAAACTCTTCTGGTAAAAAGGTTTCATTCATTCATTCATTCATTCCTTAATAAATATTTACTGAGAGCATGGCTTACTGCACTAGGCAGTGGGGATACAGCGGTGAGCAAAACAGAATTTCTGTTCTTGGAAAGATTAATTCTATCATCTAGCCACATACTCTACACACAGATTTTTTTTTTTCACATATCACAAATGCACGGCTGATGAACTTGCACAAACTGGACACACTTACTTAACTAGCACTCAGATCAAGAAACAGTATAATGAACGTCTGACAAAGCCCCCTTGTGGCCCCTCCCAGTCATTACTCACCCCAAAGAGTAATCACTGAGGGACTGAGGCTTTTACCTTACAGTCTCACCATAAATCAGCAGCTATTGGAATCTCATCTTCATTTTCAAAGAGCACCTACCATCTGAGAAGCTCGGTAACCCATAGCAAATGTAACTGGAATGTACAGCTTCTAACATGTTCTCTAGGAAGTTTTGTGCATTTGAATCAAAAGAATGCTTTAGGTCAGTCTTCAACTGTTGCGATGATTGGTGAAAGTGATTTGAAAATTTTTGAAAATTACTAAATGAATTTAGATGTTCTTCTCCCTTAAAATGTTATGCTTCCCTGCCTGAAGGAGCCCTTTCAGGAACCTTCCTGGCAGGTGAGGACAGAGTAGAGACCTAGATGCTAAGGGCAAAAATCCAGTGACTTATTTTATGTAAACATTTGACTGAGGCCGGGTACAGTGTCTTATGCCTGTAGTCCCAGCACTTTGGTAGGCCAAGGCAGGGGGATCATGAGGTCAAGAGACTGAGACCATCCTGGCCAACATGGTGAAACCCCATCTCTTCTAAAAATACAAAGATTAGCTGGGCGTGGTGGTACGTGCCTGTAGTCCCAGCTATTCGGGAGGCTGAGGCAGGAGAATTGCTTCAACCCAGGAGGCCGACGTTGCAGTAAGCCAAGATCGCACCACTGCACTCCAGCCTGACGACAGTGTGACATTCTGTTTCAAAACAAAACACACACAAAAAAACCAACCAAACAACAACAACAAAAAAAATTCATTTGACTGCCTTGGCAAATGAAAGGCTCCTTCTCTTTAAAACAGCCTCTATTGGCATCAAACGCTGAAGTTTCTTCCCCTCACACACAGCATTAATAAGATATCATTGACAAATAAAAGTTGTGTATATTTAATATGTACAACATGATATTCTGATATATGTATGCGTTGTGAAATGATTATCACAATCAAACTAATAAACACATCTATCACCTCACACAGTTGCATTTGTATATGTGTGGTGAGAACATCTCATCTCCCCTAACCCCTAGCAGTCACCATTCTACTCTCTGCTTCATCCGTTTGACTGAAGTTTCTAAGAATAGGAAGATGTACCAAAATGAACGATGAGTTTTTATTTTTCCTCTTAACATGTGAAGGAGAAGGCTACATGCGGAAGGAAATAGGGGAATGGCTCTGCCTTTCAGCTTTAACAACTATAAATCCTTCATTATCAGGTTGTCTTTAAATGGGGCAGCAAATGCAATATGTTTATTTAAAATATGTTTTTGTGAAGTTACTTTTTTACTGTGGTAAAATATATATGACATAAAATATGCCATTAAACTATTTCCAAGTGTATACTTCAGTGGCATTAAATACTTCACATTGTGTGCCGCCATCACCACTATACCTCTCCAGAATGGGTTTTGCCTTCCCAAATTAATACTCAGTATCCATTAAACAATAGTTCATAACCCCTCAGCCCCCAGCCCCTGGCAACCAACATCCTGCTTCTAGTCTATGAATTTGACCACCCTAAGTACCTCACATGAGTAGAATCATGCAGTATTTATTTGTCTTTCTGTAACTGGTTTATTTCACTTACCATAGTGCCTTCAAGGTTGATCCATGTGTCAGAATTTCCTTCTTTTGTAATGCTAAATAATATTTCATT